CTGATAGTCCGACAGAAAACTTTATGACTCCGTTTGATATTATCAGTGGGACTTTTGCTGCTGCATCACTGATGACAGAGATTTTACATCAGGTTTATATTTCGTGACCTTCAGAGATATGCACGAGCTACTACTTTCATCCGTCAGGCTACTCCTATTACGAGACTTAACAAAATTCATCACTGAGAACAAAGATTCACAAGCGTATGTGGATGAAACCAAAACACTGGTCGGATCTAGGAAGGCAGGGAGAGTTAAGGCAGAGGCATAGAAATTGCTCTTCCCCTCTCTCGTCAATCCATGTCTATGGTCTTTAAGATAACTTGTTATGTAAAATTATTTATTTATCTAAGATGCAGCTATACTGAATTTATCTGAAAAATAAAAAAGTCGATATTAAGAAAAAAATTGTAAATGGAAGATTATAAGAGAGGGTTTCGCGTGCCAGCAAAAGTTACTGGCGTGCCATGTTTGGCACATGTGCCAGGGGTTGCCCACCCCTGTTCTAGGTTTAAGTCCCCCAGGCTACTCGATGTTTGTTTGACTGCGACAGTAGCCAAACCTACAGCTCAGGCAAGTGATGTCAGAATAATAACTGAGAAAGGCAGGGCTAGGCATTGCCCTTTGTCAACCGCCCTCCCCCACCCCCCAAGAAGGAAAAGCAGACCATTGATCCCCCCGCCCATGCCCCATTAGAGAGCTTGGAGCAGGCAATGAGCTCAGACGGCCCTCTCGTTACCAGGCTAAGGGCCTGCTTTTAACTGGAAGCAAAACAAAACAAACACCGCCCCCCCCCTTTTCGTTTCAACTGGTGAAATTTTTTTCTTTACTTTTTTAAAAAAATCTTCACCGGAGGACATACTTACATGTTTAGAGAGAGGAAGGGAGAGAGAGAAACATCGATCAATTGCCTTGCATATGTGCCCTGACCAGGTATGTGTGGGAATCGAACTGGCAACCTTTGGGTGCACTGGACGGTGCTCAACCAATGGAGCCACTCCAGCCAGGCGGTGAATTTCTTTGTATCTACTTCAGTAACACAAATTCTGCCACCATATTTTCCCTAAATATCTGTCTTCTGTGTAATTTTTATGTCATGCTATCGAGACTGCTGCTTGAGATACTTTGGCGAATAAATTACTCTCCACTCCACTTCTGCAAAAGAATCACACTGTCTGATGTGAAAATTATATGCACTTAGAGATGTGCTAATGCGACAATGATTTGAGAAGTGGAGAAAGATGGGTAGCCGCTGACTCTAGGTGCTTTAGTCATTTGTACCGGCACCAGGTGACTTCTGAAGGGGAGCGAGACCTTGCCAACTCTTTTGCCCCAAAGTGGTTTTTAGTTTCAAAAGCCATTGACTTTTAAAAATCTGATGGGGGCGTTTCTAATGCAAAATGTGACCTTTTACAAACATGAAGTGGCTGGCATGACTAGTGGAGATCGGCATGGCATTACGGAGTCCTCAGTCATTCATTCACGCACACATTCAACCACTGTTGATGCAACACCCAGTGCTAGGTATTCCCGGAGAATTGACAGATGGTGTGTCTGCCCTCTTGGAGTTGTCAGAACTTAAGACAGTGAAGGTCTATTAGCAAAGAACACTTGGAATCTACTCTAAATGGGACCATTACTACTCAAGGTGTTATCCACGTGGAACTGTCAGAAGTTCAAAATCTCAGGCCCTGTTCCACCCAGACCTAGTGAATCAGAAGTTGCATGTTAATAAGATCCTCTGCTGAGTCATATTCATGTTCACCCGTGGCTACTCCTTAGAATCATCTGGGGAGCTTATGAACATTCTGAGGCCCAGAGGGCACTCCAAGCCAATTTAATCTGAGCCTCTGGAGGTGGGGCTCAGGCATCTGTAGAAACCGCTGACCTAGATGACCCCTCAGGGTTTCTGGTGGAATCCAGGAATCTGTGTGTCAAGCCACCAGATGGCAGCTGGTGGGTAAGCACTCCAAGCCCCGAGGGAGTGCGTTGGGGAGCTCTTCGGCCAGAGGAAGGAGAGGGACGGGGCAAGGAGAACCCAGTCCAGGGGCCTGGGGATGAGGGAGTCCTGAGCCTCAGAGCTTTCTTTTCTAAACATTTAATATTGACCTAATTTAGACTTACAGATAAGTCACAGAATATACACTTCACCCAGACTTCCCAACTCAATTATCACAATTTCTCTGTCTCTCTCCACATACATGTTACATAACATGTACACACATATGCACATGTGTATTTCCCCTTCTCCAAACCATTCAGAGGAGTCGTGAACATGATTCCCTTTTAAATTAGCATGTATTTTATACAAACAAAGATATTTTCTTATACAGCCACAGTGCAAGGATCAAAATCAGGCAGTTAACATTGATACAACACTGCTATCTAATCTGCAGACTTTACGCAGATCTCACCAATAATCTCAATACTGTTTTTTATAATAAAGGAAGCTCCCAAATCATGTGTTGCATTCAGTTCTCATATCTTTTTGGTCTTTATTTTTTTTTTAAATTTTTATTGATTTCAGAGAGGAAGGGAGAGGGAGAGATAGAAACACCAATGATAAGAGAGAATCATTGATCGGTTGCCTCCTGCACACAACACACTGGGGATCGAGCCGGAAACCCAGGCCTGTGCCCTGACCAGGGATCGAGCCGTGACCTCCTGTTCATAGGTCGATGCCCCACCACTGAGCCAGGCCGCCGGGCCCTCTTTGTCTTTACCTGGAACCGGTCCTCAGTGGTTCTCTGTGCTTCATGACGCTGACAGTTCTGACGTGTACAGGACAGTGTAAGCGCTCCTCAGTGGGTTTGTCTGGTGTCTCCGCATGAGTGGACTCAGGTTATGCAGCTGTGGCTGGGGTCACGGAGGCGAGACTAGGTCCTTCCCAGAGCACCTTGCCCCCCGGTGACGTTGGCCTTGGTCACCTGGTTGAGATGCTCTTCACAGGCCTCTCCACAGTGAGGTTCGGCCTCCCCTTCAGCAGTCAGTTCTGTGTGACAGGTGCCCGGGGACTGTGCACATATTATGTTCGTCCTCAAACTTTCACCTGCCTGTCCTCATCCATGTTGGTCCCTGACAGACCCAGTTATTATGGTGGTCATCAAGTGGTCATTTTCTAATTTCATCCCTTTCATATTATTATTAGTTGGCTTTTTATTATAAGAAAGAGCTTTCCCTTTTTATTTATTTGCATAAATTCACAGATTATTAGTCTATTCCATTTGTTGTACTTGTTACTATTTCATGTCCCAGTGATCCCAGCCACCTGGCGTGGGAGCCCAGCCGCCGGCCCCTGGTCTGGGACATGTCCCCAGCGTCTGGGCTTCCGTCCTTCCTGGGACAGTGCGGTCCCCAGGCTGAGAGCTCCCCTTGGGCCACCGACCTGTGGGGACGGACACTGCATGGGCGGCCCCCACAGGTTAACACTGACCTGACTGAACAAATCACTGGACAGGAGAACTTCAATGCACGTCTTTGGTGAGACAGTGGCCACTGGATTTCTAGAATGCAGAAGGTGCCGCATGCGACTTTCAACAATGGACGTTTTCCCACACAGCGTGCAGGAGTGAAGTTTGGGGGAATTCAGTTCTGTTTAAAAATACAATTGTCTTGTCTACACCTAACTCCATAACATTGTTAAAGCAAGTTTCATTTATGGACTCTTTTCATAAATTCTCATAAGATTTTAAGTTACTTCCTATAGAAACAGCAACTTTTATTGCCATTTCAGTTTTTCAAATGAGTCCTCTTTTAACAAATAACAATGTTGTTAAAACGAGCTCTAAAAATGTATTCATAGAGAGAGAGAGAGTTCTTAGTCACTGCATAGTTTTCTTGATTCCAGAACTTTCCCAAGGATGATTTCACCCCAGGGGACATATGACAAAGCCTGAGACTTTTCTTTGTTGCCACAAGAGAATGGGGGGGCGGTGTTACTAGGTAGAGACTGGGGATGCTGCTAAACATCCTACATGCAGGACAGCTGGCTAATCTCTGGGTTAGCACCCCTGGGATATTTTCTATCAGCTTTGTAACCAATTCCCTGCTTTACATTTTCTTTTTCTAAAAAAATCTTTCTTGTTGAATGGCCATCTTGTATTACAGATGTCCCCCTTTTTACCACCCATTTCCCCCCTCCACCTGATTCTTATCCCACCCCAGGCCTTCACCACCCTATTGCCTGTGTCCATAGGTAATGCATATATGCATATGAGTTCTTTGGTTAATCTCTTTCCGCCCCACTACCTCCCCTTCCCTCTGATATTCATGCCTCTGGTTCTATTTTATCCATCAGTTTATTTTGTTCATTAGATTACTTGTTCATTTATTTTGATCTTTAGATTCAATTGTTGATAGATATGTATTTATTGCCATTTTCTTCTTCTTCTTCTTCTTCTTCTTCTTCTTCTTCTTCTTCTTCTTCTTCTTCTTGAAACCTACTACACAAGGCCACTTGTGTAGGGCCCAGTGGCTCCGCCTCCCCAGTCACCTGAGCTGGGCACTCTAGCTGCACCCCTGTGTGGGTTGTGTGTATAGTCTTGTAGTTGAGTCTTGATTGCTGTTGGCAACACTGGCAGGAGTTGACCTCCATGCCAATTGACTGTAGGGACCAGCTGTGACTATAGTGGAAGAGCTGCTGTGCAGGAGACACCCCTTTGGTGCTCACTGAGTCAGCCCCTTGAGTGTCACTTGTGGATGTGTAGAGTTGTAATCTGGTATAGTCTGAAGCTGTCCATCAGGTGCACTGGCTCTGAGACCTCCCAGGAGGTGCAAAGTCAGCCACTGCCTGGGTCACCCAGCAGGAGTTACAGAGCAATCTGCAGATGGCTGCTACTTGTGTTGGGCTTGGAAGTGTCCAGGCGAGATCAACCTGTGAAGCAAAGCAGGCTGCTGCTAGTGCTAGGTTTTGCTAATGCCAACTGCTGCTTGTTTGAGAGATTTTAGGGAAGTTTGAAGCCTGAGCCAAGACAGGCCATTCATATGGAAAAGTTGCTGCAAACAGCTTGAGTGGGGCTACAAATTGGATCAGGTGGGGTCACAGGGAATCAGCAGGGCAGAGCGTACAGTGTGAGCCAGGTTGATGGAGACTCAGATATGGCTACCAATCAGTTCTGCAATGGGGGAGGTCTCAGGAGAGAAACAAGGACCCCTGTGAGCACCCCTGTCTGGGAGAATGCCCACAAGTTCTAGCTCAGATGCCAGACAATCCAGTTCCTCCCCATATGTCCCTGGATCCCTGAAAGCCCCAGCTTCGAGGGAGTGGGACTGTTTAAGTTTATGTGCAGGCCTTTTAAAAGGAAGTGCCTGGATCTCCAGTAGCTTTCCTTTCACTCAGCCATAGTACCTGCTGGTTTTTATAGCCTGAAGTTACATAGGCTTCTCTGATCAACCCATTCCAGGCCTCCACCCTCCTAGCAATCTCAAGGTGGTGTTTTCTTCTTTGCTTCTCTAGTTGTAGGACTTCCATTCCACCAGATTTTAGGTGGTTCTGAATGATGGTTGTCCTGTACTTTAGTTGTAATTGTGATGTGGTTGTGGGAGGTGGTGTGTACTGGCATTTACCTACACTGCCATGTGGTTCTCCCTCCTAAATTTTCTCCGATGTAAATAACCAAAGTGGTTTTTTTTTCATGAGTGATACAAGAGAAAGTCATCTGGGACTGCAGGAGGTACCACATGTGGAGAGTGAGGCCTAGAACAGCTCACAGGGAGGAAAGCCAAGTTGAGAGAGAAAGAAAAAGACAAAGAAAGATTGTGTCCTGACAATGCTTGAGTTCCTGGACACAGCTATGTCTGAAGGCCCTGGGCTTGTCATATGTGTTAGGCCAGTGGTCGGCAAACTCATTAGTCAACAGAGCCAAATATCAACAGTACAAGGATTGAAATTTCTTTTGAGAGCCAAATTTTTTAAAATTAAACTATATAGGTAGGTACATTGTTATTAACTTAATTAGGGTACCCCTAAGCTGGCTTTGCTAAAAACGTCCTCAATCTGATTGAGGTATGTTCACTGAGCTCGACCCCTTCCAACACTCCCATCCTCAACTCCTGCACCCCCCCTCCCCCCCCGCGCTGCGTATCCCGCGGCCCGCCTGCTCTGCATCTCCCGTCGCCTGACTGACCAACACCCCCACTTCTTCTAATGCCACTTCTTCAAAATAGACTTGCCCAGGCCGAAAACTGACTTCTGTGCATGGGCCACGAAGTTTCAATCACACTGTATGTGCTTGCCCGCATGTGGTATTTTGTGGAAGAGCCACACTCAAGGGGCCAAAGAGCCGCATGTGGCTCTCGAGCTGCGGTTTGCCAACCACTGATTCCCACTTTGTCCCCTTTTTGTTGTTGTTGAGCCGGTTTGAATTGGGTTCATGTCACTGCAGCTGAGAGTCTTAATCATAGCCAGCACTCTATGTCCGGTTGCTGGGGAACAAATAGGGAGAAAGAATAGGGCAGTATGGCATGATGGAGAAAGTTCTAGAATGAGGAGAGAGCCCTGGTTGTCATCCCACCTCTGTGACCATCTATGGGTTTGTCTTGGTGAGTATTGCTTTGCCCCTTCGGAAAAAAGTCCTCAGCTTCTAAAAATAAGAGGGTAAGTGCCTGGTCTCTGGGGTTAGCAGCCTGGATTCTAGCCCCCGAATCTTCTACCTTCAGGTATGACTTTGGACAGACCCAAGTTAAACCCCAGTTTCTCAGTGTGTGAAAAGGGTAGATGTTTTAGAGATGTTGGGAGAACAGAATGAGATCGTGCATGTTTAGCATACGGCACTCTACTATATGTTAGACGGCACTATATTACCCAGTTGTACTATGTGCCACAAAGCGAGCTGTGGTGAGGCTGCCAGTGTGGTCTGTGATTATTATGAAGGCCACTGTGATGCTGGCAGTGATGCTATGCTGACTACTTGGTAGAGAGCCAGACATGAGAGATATCACGGGGAGATTAGTGCTCTTGGCAGAGGAGCGGGGAGGGGAGTCTCTGTTGCCTGGCTCCTCTGAGCTAAACAACATGGCCTCTGGATCCCTTCACACCACGGGTCACCATCTCCATGGCTGAGAGTACTTCTAAAAGCTGGACAATGAGAGTTACATCAATTAGGTTTTTGTTTTGTCTCCATGGTATTTTGCAGTTAGTTTGATTCTTTCTCATAGATTTGGCCACATAAAATAGTCTTAGAGAGGAGAACATCTTGGCCACAAGGACAGATTGGGCATCAGACCAAGTTGCCTGTGAGTCCTTCTCCTGCCAGCACCAGTCAGGGGGCTTGGGGGTGTGGCCCATGCTGAGCCTCAGTTTCCTCTTCTGAAAAATAGGAGACCGTGGTTCTCAATCCCCTGTCTTGAGAGATTGTACATACAGTTGGGATATAATGAACTTTCAAAAATGGGAGCTATTACTATTGTAGTGAACGACAGTAAGAAATGGCAGAATTGCATCTTGGGTTTATATTGCCCATTCTGGAAAAAAATCCACCTCTCAGACTGCCAATGGCATAAGCACAGCCCAACAGCAGGAACAGAAGTTACTCCCATGAGGTAGCATATTCCATCATGAGATAAAATTTTGCTTTTCATCTGAACAGCCTTCTTATTAAAATTATAAGTTGGTGATGCAAACCATATGATTAATCTCTTCACATAAAAAGGTTAAAATACTATAATCCATGCATGAAGATGTTTGAAATGGTATCATTTTATCATCCAAATTAGCTTTGTGAGTTCCTTGCAGAAACCCAAAGAAAAAAGATCTCTTTTTTCATGCCACAGAGATCAGCAGAAAACATTATAAATATCTTCAAAAGTTGAATGAAACTCCATTGTGAATAGGAAATAGTATGGGCAATAAATAAATGTTAATCCAATTTCATAAAAACAATAAAGGTAACTGGCAGAAACACTGACCCGGTCATAAATACACTTACAGTCGTCTTAAACATCGTGGCATATCCTGTTTAGTTGATTCATGGCCAGAGCTGCTGCATTGGAAGCTATCGCACCCTGCACTATATGTCATTGTCTTGTTAACAGTTCTGGAGATGGGATGAGCTCTGGTGTTCAGTTAGAGGATTGGCTAACAATGCTTGGAATTGTGGGACAATGGCCACCCTCTGTACTGGTATATGCTTCATTCATTCTCCTGGGAAAACCTCATTGCCCAGCAAAGCAATACATAGAACGTGCAAAAGTCATGCTTTGGAAATAGTCCTTCAAACCTGGATTGCATGGCTAATTGCATTGTTTCATCCAGATTTCATTAGCACTTGTTTACTGTGCTCTTGTGAGCACTAGGCAGCTCGATGATTACCTTGGTTTCCTCCTGATTATGTCTCTCTAGCTTGCCATTCACCATGGCTAGACCACTCCAGAGGGCAAATATCTATGATTTGGTAACTAGGTTCCCACTTGCATGATATCTCTGATTGATTGGTTGTGTCTACCAGACTGCTTATGTGGAGAAGGATTCTGCTGCCTTGTGTGGGCTCAGTGGGGAATAGTGCTGTGGTTGATTAGTGCTGTCTGCCACAGGTATAGGAGTAGTGGGGTGCATGCCATCTATTTGCAGTCCTGGCCTACTAGGTAATCTGATAATGCACTCAGATGTGACAGGAGGGTATCGTATGGTCTGCCAACAAACCTCTGATGTTTATTTCCTGTTGCACTAGTGCAGAGTAGAGACTGGAATGGTTGCAGGATTGGGGTTATATAAGGGCCCTCTTAAGCATTAGGTGAGGTGCTAGCCCCTTGTTCTCCCCTAAAGTATTATGCAGGCTCAGCTGCCAGGTCCACAGTGGCTCCTACTAGGAAATCTCAAGCTTGTCTTCACTACAACCTCATACAATGGCCACTGAAGAGCAGCGAGATGGTGAGGCCAATTGCAAGGATTAGATAGTAGTTAGTGACTTTAAAGATCCTGAAATGTATGGCTCCAGATATAGAAGAGGGGGGTGCAGAGAAGAGCTACTATGACAGGCATTTTATTCATTACTTCATTTACCCCTTTTAAGGACTCTATGAGTTAGGGTTCCTCAGCCTCAGTTTTCAGGCATAGAAATGGGAGCTCAGAGAGGCTGAGTTATGTTCCCAGATCACACAGCTGGTAGTAGGGGCTGAAGCTGGGAGTCAATGTAGGCCAGTGTGACCTCCAAATCTGGGCTCTCTCCTTTTTGAGTCACCTACCACCATATTAACCTCTGGGATCCTCGTCCCTAGTGGCTGACGGCCATGGACATCCTAAGCCCCGAGGCTGCAGAAGTCAGTAACATCAGTTCAATTCAGCAGACAAGTTAGGGGAGAATCACTCCCAGAATATCTGCTCCCTGCTCTCCAGGGAGTCTCCAGCCCTGAACTCTCTAGTTTACTCTTCTTGGAGAAGCCCTGGACGATCTTCTCCTCACCCCGTACCTTTGAGTTAGTTAAGAAAGGCTCACTACTGCAACTAAAAACCCCCAATCTCAATGGCTTAGCACAGTGATGGCGAACCTATGACACGCGTGTCAGAGGTGACCGCGAACTCATTTTTTGGTTGATTTTTCTTTGTTAAATGGCATTTAAATATATAAAATAAATATCAAAAATATAAATCTTTGTTTTACTATGGTTGCAAATATCAAAAAATTTCTATATGTGACACGGCACCAGAGTTAAGTTAGGGTTTTTCAAAATGCTGACGCGCCGAGCTCAAAAAGTTCGCCATCACTGGCTTAGCATAATGAAGGCTTATTTCTCACAGTCCTATGCTAGTTACCATGGTGGAGCTGGGAAGTGGGATCTGCCCTACTCGGTCATTCAGGGATCCAAGACCCTCCCACCCTTGTTTCTACCATCTCTTGGGGTCTCAGATTCCTCCCCTGAACTGTCTAGCAGACGGGGGAACAGAGCATGAAGGGAGACACAGGAGATCTGCCAGGAGCCAGTCCATCATGGCTGCCATATTCCAATGGCCAGGTCTCAGTCACACAAGCATATATCTCTGCAGGGGATACTGGGAAATATGGTCCAGTTGTGTCCTCAGAGAGAAAGAAGATGGAATTTGGTGAATTGTCTCAACCTCCATCTAAAATAGCCGAATCTCTGTGTTAAGAAAACAAACAAATCAACACCAAAGGGGGTGGCACAAGCCCAGACATATTTTCTTATTTAATCTTGAAGAGGGGAATGTTCCAACTCACAACCTAGGTCATTGCTTCTCAAAATGTGATCTACAGTCTCCTGAAGGTGTGTGGTGGGTACCGAAGGGCACATGTACCCACCAGGTCCAATTACATTGTCATGTAGGTGCGGCAATTTAACCTGAAGTTTTAAGGGAACTAAAAATGATAAATTTGATTTTCTTGAAAGGTTTAGACACAATTATACCCAAAGGAAGTAGAGTTATTCCTCAGGTTAATAGTCTTCTAGCCCTGGCCAGGTAACTCAGTTGGTTAGAGCATCATCCCGAAATACCTGGGTTGCAGGTTGGATCCCCAGTCAGGGCACATAATACAAGAATCAACCAATAAATGCATAAATAAGTGGAACAATAAATTCATGTTTCTCTCTCTCTAAAATAAATCAATGAAAACAATTTTTTAAATAGTATTTCATGTTTAAGGCTTATCGGCCTTAAACATGGAAGACTATTGGGCCTTAGGGACATTGCTTCTCTTTTCTTTACATTTAGGGGAAGTCGAGGAAACTGTTTCTGAGACATTTGACTCAGGATGTGTCTTTACTATCTTTTCCTCAGTCCTAAGTCATAGGCATTCCGAATTCAATGGGGAAAATGAATTGAAAGTTTACTTATGATCTAATGACATTAGCAATCATTTCTGAACCACATTAGTCAGACAGTGCTGAGGGCTTGCATGTGGTCTGGTTCCCCATTGCTGAACAGCAACCACCCTAAAACTTAGTGGTTAAAACAGCCATTCTATTATCTCATGATTCTGTGGGCCAGGAATTCAGGCAGGGCTAAGCTGGGTGATTCTTATGTTCTAAAGACCAATTGTGGTCACTTGTTGGTATTGAACAGATAATTAGGGTAGTCGGATGGCTTCAAGATAGCTTTTCTCAAATGTCTGGCACAAACACCTAAAAGTCTGGGCTCTGTCACACTTCTGTCCCACTTATGTGTCAGCTCAGGGTTCCAAGAACAAGTGATCTAAGAGTGCTGGGCAGAAGCTATGACCCAGCCTCAGAAGTCCCAAAACATACTCCCGCCATGTTCTATTGGTCAAGTTTAGGCAACTAAAGCTAGACAAGATTCAAGGGAATTAGCTTCCACTTTTAATAAAAAAAGTAACAAAGAGTTTGCAGCCATCTTTCCTTGATCACTGTGTGGATGATCTCATTCAGTCCTCACAGCATCCTTGTGAAGTAGACACCACTTTTATTCTCATTTTACAGTTGAATAAACTTATCACTGGTTCATAGTACCTACTAATCCACACACTATCTCTAAATAGAATAAGTACTTTCAAAGTCTTCATCTAAATGACTACTGAGTAGAAGGGCCCATTTATGAGTAACTTAGAAGTTAAAATAATGGCACTAATATTTATAATGGCTAACTTTTTGAGTACTTGCTATGTGCCCCTTACCTTCAATCCTCATCACAGTCATATATGTTAGTGTAGTAGATTACACTATTGTTCAAAATATTGGCCTCTCTTCCGTGTGAGAGAGTTATGCTTTCCACCCTATACCTTCAGTCTTGACCATGTGACAAATTTGGGGCCATGAAGCCAGAGCAGAAGTGATGTGTGGCACTTCCAAATAGAAGCTTTCAAAATTATTCTGTGGTTCTGCCAGGATCTCTTTTCCTCTGCCATGAGATTGGCAGTGTCTCAAATATAGGCCTCATGTCAGCCTGCATCACAGAATGAAGACCAAATGGAATTGAGCACAGCAAACCCACAACAGACATGTGACTGGAGCGAGCACTAAGCCTGTTTTTGAAAGTCTGCTGCAATTTGGAGTTGTTTTTTACAGCAGCATAACTTAATCTAACTTGACAGGTACTATTAGTTTTCTCCTTTTATAGATTTTAAAGCAAGTATAGAATAGTTAAATAGCTTGCCCAAGGCCTAGGACTTAACCTTAGGTTGTTTGCTCTCAGAGCCTTGGATCTTAACTCCCAATCTGCTGTAGAACTGACGAAAATAAAGATTCTGCAAGAGAAGCCACCTGCTGTGTTTGGCTCCTCTGTAGCAGTTTGGGATGCTATGATGAAAATGCCATAGACTGGGTAACTTAAACAATAAGCATTAATTCCTCATAGTTTTAGAGGGGAAGTCCAAGATCGAGATGCCAGCAGATCCAAGCTCTGGCTGGTGGCTCAGTTGATTAGAGCGTTGTCCTGAAATACCAAGGTTATGGCTTCAATCCCTGGCCAGGGCATATACAAAAATCAACCAGTGAATACATAAATAAGTGGAACAACACACTGATGTGTGTTTTTCTCTCTTTTTCTCATTCAAATCAATAAATATAAAAATATTTTTAAAAATAAAAAATAAAGATGCTGCTGAATTGATGTCTGGAGGAGGCCTGCTTCCTGGCATGTAGGCAGCGGTCTTCTTGCTTGTTTTCACATGGGTAAGGGAGAGAGAGAGAGAGAGAGAGAGAGAGAGAGAGAGGAGAGAGAGAAGCTCTCTCTCTCAAGTCTCTTCTTACATTTCAGACAAGAAAAAACTAAATGAGTTTGTCACCACCAAAACCAGTACTGCAAGAAATGTTAAAGGGACTTCTTTAAGAAGAAGAAGAAAAAATGAGATTAAAAATATGAATAATAAAATGGCCAAAACTACAAAAAAGACATATCTATCAACAATTACTTTCAATGTAAATGTAATAAATGCTCCCATCAAAGATGGAGGCTGAATGGATAGAAAAACAAGATCTTACATGTGCTGTCTACAGAGACTTACTTCAATGGAAGGACACCGCAGACTGGCAGTGAAGGTATGGGAAAATACCCCACAAACATGGAAACAAACAAACACCTGGGGTAGCAATAGTTATACCAGACAAAACAGACTTTAAAACAGAGAAGCCCCTACAATTCCACTTCTGGGAACTTATCTGAAGAAACCAAAACACTAATTTGAAAAGATATATACCCCTATGTTCACTGCAGCAGCATTTACAAGAGCCAAGATATGGACGCGGCCTGAGTGCTCATCAGCAGACGAGTGGATGAAGACGAGGTGGTGCATGCAATGGCCTGGGTCTCGGCCGTAAGGAAGAATGGAGTCGTGCCACCTGCCACAGCATGGCTGGACCTAGCGGTGGCCAGATGGGTGAGAAAGGTGGAGGGATTAGGAGGGTTGGCAGTTGCAGAATAGTCACGGGCTGCCAGGTACGGCCTGGGGAATACAGCCAGTGGTCTTGTGCTAGCTCTGTGTGGTATCAGCTGGGTGCTAGACTTAGCGGGTGATCACTAGTAAGTTATGTAAATATTTAACACTACGCTGCACACCTAAGCTAATATATTGTATGTTAACTGTAATTAAACATTTTAAAGTTCTTTTTAAAAGTCCCTTCTTATGAAGGCACTAATCCCATCACGAGGCCAGCCTCCCGAAAGCCCAGCCACCAAATGCCTTCGCCTCGGGATGTAGGGTTCAACACGGACCCAGGGAGGACTCGGGATGCAGTCCATCCCAGCTGCTGGTGCGCAGACTCTCGGACCTCGCAGGCGGCAGCCTGTGAGCGGAGGTGCCTGACTGTAAGAGGCAGCTCAGATGCCTTGCGGCCTGCGCACCCCTGAGGGGCGTGTTCCGCCGAAGAGGGAACCCTGTAACCCAGTGGTTCTCAACCTTCCTAATGCCGCGACCCTTTAATACAGTTCCTCATGTTGTGGTGACCCCCAACCATAAAATTATTTTTGTTGCTACTTCATAACTGTAATTTTGCTACTGTTATGAATTGTAATGTAAATATCTCATATGCAGGATGTATTTTCATTGTTACAAATTGAACATAATTAAAGCATAGTGATTAATCACAAAAACTATGTAATTATATATGTGTTTTCTGATGGTCTTAGGCGACCCCTGTGAAAGGGTCGTTCGACCCCCAAAGGGGTCGCGACCCACAGGTTGAGAACCGCTGCTGTAACCCTTTGCGCGTGGCATAGTAGCCCACAGCGTTGGTGAGCTAGCCACACCTGGGACGGCTTGGCCTTCCCTGGCCTGCATTTTTGTCTAAGTAACAAGAAAAAGGAGAAAGTACAATAGAAGGCTGATTCCAAATATTACCTGGGGAATACTTATACTAAACAATAAATCACTTTTGTCTGAAATTCAAATGTAACTGGAGAGCCTGTAACTTTTGTTTGTTAAATCTGACGCCTGAGATACGGCAATGATGACACGGGACCCAGCCAGCTCCCAGGGCTCTGGGGCCCATGCAGAAGCCCCTGCCACCCGCGGAGTTGCACCCAGGGCCCCGGGCTGGGGTGTTTGGATCCCTGCCCCAGGCGTCTTAGCG